AAGAGTGTGTTCATTTCTTGGGACTGGCCAATTCCCAACCGTTTCCTCTCTGGAGAAAAAAAGGAGAAAGAAGAAAAAAAAAGTATCTATTTTTAATTTTTCAGCAGAATATTTTCAAGTGCTTTTCTATTATTAATACATACACAAGAACTTCCAGTAATGCCAGTTTGAATTTGATGGTAAATTTCGCAAGAGGATATAAAGTTAAATGGAAAGCAGAGTTCACAAAACAGAAGCATCAAATAAATCTTGCTTTCCTTTCCCAAAAAGAATTAAGGAAGAGGAGCAATGCAGAGAAAACCAGCATCCAGTAACACCTGGTAAATTCTACCTAAAATTTTAGCAAGTGCATTTAGCATCTTACCCATTAGACACCTTCGACGATATTTGTGGTACACCTGTTGAGTAAAGCCATTTTCCTTTAACAGTTCATGAGAAGGATGCTGAAACTTTGGAAGAGAATTTGGGGTACAGCCATAACTTTCTGCCAGTGGAGCTCCTTCTGAAGGCGAAGCATTGGAACTGCTGAAAAAAACCACAACTATTTCTGTCCCATGAACAGGGCTTTTCTACAGAATCCTTTTTCAACCATTCTGATCTACACAAGAGCTGTCAGAATAGTACAGTCACCTGGTGACCACTACAGTGCACACCTGGGCTCCCAGTCGTCTGTTTTCCTGTGCATCTCAGGAAAATCAGATTCTATGCCAATATATGAAAAAACAGGCACTGTGGGATTATGATAATGAAACATTACCGTCATGTCTGATCTTAGATGACCATTTAAAGGCAAAAAGTAGTATTCCTGCTACTATATCATGGGTCAACAGACAACACTGTGAACACAGTCTAGGTAGCTTACTTCCAGATAGCCTTGTATTCTATTTTTTTGTATTTCTTGACTTCTCTTTCCTTGCTTCCACTGTTACTTATAAAAATCCAATTTACCTCACAGAGGAAGTTCTTGACCTGTGGTCTCTGGAATCCATCACCCAACCAACATGGCATTCCAAGGGAGGATTTGTACTGTGCCGTGTTTTTCTTTTTCTTGGAGTCTAAAAAAGTAAATGAAGTATTTATTTCCCTAATTTGATTTCACTCATTTTCCCCCTCTTAAAACAAAGCTCTAAAAATTTTATATTCTAACACATTGTAAAGTCACAACTGTGAAACACCAATTTCATAACCTGAAGATGTCTCATGTAACAAATGAAAAATCTTTAGACATGACACTTTTTCAACAAGGACTTTTGAGAGAGGTTACAGAGGAAATTTGGAAACGATTTCGTAGAAATAAAAAACAATTAATTTTGCAAATATATTTAGGATAAACTATTAAAAAAAGTACAAGTGTTGTATTTTTTACCTGTTCATTCCTGTTAAATTGTATGCACAGACATGAGTTTTATAGGCTTTTTCTGGTCTTAAAAAGTACTGTTCCCTTCCATTTACCTTTACATCAACAGATCGTGCTTCTTTAACAACAGGGTAGAACCTGGGTGTTTTGTTGGGATCCTGTAGCCTTGGGGTGCGAGGTGTTCGCAGGGTGAAGCCCAAGTGAACACAGGGGGGATCTGGAACTGCTGTTGGCAGTGATCGAGCTATTGCTGCTGTTGGAGGTACTTCAGTACTCAACAAATGACAAGCTAAATCTGTAGGCAGGAAGGAGAAAACATTTGTTTTCAAAAGAAACTTAGTACTTCAAAGCCTAAGCTCCCCTAGTGTCTAGTATTTTAAATGGCTGGCTTCATTTCAAGTGAATTACATCACCCCTAAAGAGTAATCAAATTAACAAAAACACTTGGCACAGCAGCAGTAAACTGCTCAAAATTATTAAATAATGTTTCAAGCATGTCTTTGCTAGACAATTTAAACCCACTTCTTTCTAACCTGCTTGTTCTTTCTCTATCTGCTCTAGCTAAGTAATAGGAAATAAACATAGGTGAAAGCATAACCAAATTCTTGCTTTTTGGTGGGATGGTGGATTTAGCTATGTAGTTCTCTTCAACCCCTCTAAACATGCTATTAGCAGGTATTATAGTAAACATTATTAATATACGACTATATCAGAAATACCTCAAAAGATAAGATTTGGACATTGTGACTATTCAGTAAGATGATGATACAAGTATAAAATTCTTCCAATCTCATTTTGTTCTGTCCCCGTTTCCCATAAAAATACTGGTTTCTACAAGATGTTTCATGCATCAAACTATTGCTTATACACTGTCAAGTTACACAAAAGGCACCTGGTGTTGGTGTGTGGTGACATCAAAACAGAACACTGCCTATTGATGATTATATCCTTAAAAGTAAGAGTACCAGCTGCTTCCAAGTCAGTACAAACCATGGTACTGATGCACAGCTGTCAATTTGAAAAATTTGCCAAAAAAAAGCCCCTCACACTACTCACTGAACCAAAATGAAAATGTGACACAAGTAGAGTTAAAACACCTACAGAATTGTTGGTTATTACAGAGATTCTAAAAACAAAGACATGTGACTTACTTTTTCGTAACCCTGGAGGTCCTGGAGAAACTTCTTGGGTTGGATCAGCAATTTCTTCTGGTGCAAGATTATCAAAATCTTCCTTACTAATGAGACTTAGTTTCTTAAAATCCTCAATCTCTTGCTGAATTAGAGAAAACAAATTGTAAACGCAAAGCACAATAATGGGTATCATCCTGAGAAACAGGAGAATTTCACAGAAGAGAAAATAAGCAAACCAGCACTGACATGACTACCCATACACAGCCAGTACAGATTTCTTTTAACAAAGACTGAAGGAGTCTCTAGCACACATTCTAAAAAAGCTGCTGTCAACACCACACTATGTAACTGTCCTAGTGAAAATAAACAGTTACGCCAAGAACAGGGTGAACAGAAGCAGGCAATTCTACACGCCAATTTTCAAAAACAAATTAGAAACAGGAATGACTGAGATCCTGCCCCTTGCCAAACCCTAACTCATCCTTCTTCTGCAGTAAGCGTGCCAAGGAAGGTCCTAGCAATTTAGGGGAGCAGAAGAGGCCCTGCTCCCTTCCTCAGTCTACATCCAAAGAAAAACCGGTTCAGTAGCTTGAACTGTGAAAGGATGGGAATTTCCAAGACACATGGCAGCATCTGAAATCACTCATGCCCCCTACACACTGCTGAAGGGGGGTGGGATGTGTGTGCATGTGCATACTGGGTGTGAAAATCTTGTTTAAATCACTGTCAAGAATGTAACAACAAAGAAAATATTTTCTCTTGCTGTGTGCTGTTTCTCAGTGTCCTCTTCCAGTTCGCTGGTTTTCTTGGTCCATTTCCTATGTAATAAAAACTTCATATTCTGAATCCTACCTTTATTTGTTGCTCTTATTCTCAATATTAGTTTATCTCTGTCAGCTCTTTTTTGTACCTATATGATCCACATATGCTTTAAGCTACTTTCCCCCCCACACCCACCACCGTCTTTATGCATTATGCAAAATCCTCCCCCTCACCACTCTGTGTTTAATTTGCTTTGTATTTCTATAGACATATCTCCTAGTGATCACAGAATCCTAGGGGTTGAAAGGGAGCTCGAAAGATCATCTAGCCCAACCCCCTTCCAGAGCAGGATCACCTAGAGCACATCACACAGGAACGTGTCCGGGCGGGTTTTGAATGTCTCCAGCCAAGGAGACTCCACAACCTCTCTGGGCAGCCTGTTCCAGTGCTCTGTCACTCTCACAGTAAAGAAGTTCTTCCTGATATTCACATGGAACCTCTTATGCTCCAGTTTGCATCCATTACCCCTTGTCCTATCACTGG